CAAAAACAAATCTTTTTGTTCAATTTCAGGGAGGCTTTTTGTAATATGTTAAAAAAAAGTGGCATTAACAATGAACATAAAATGGAATCTATTTTGTTTTCTGACACAAAAAAAAGGCTGAATGCAACTTGATTTGATTTTTTCTAGAAGGGAAGTCTCCAGACATGGAACAACATAAACCAGGAAACAAACAACACAACGGAACCATCAAGCAAGAAGATATCAGGAGAGATCTCTGCATGGGAATTGGCTCAAAGGTAATTAAATACATTGGTCACATATTTGCAGTGAATCATTTCCATAGGGTCAGGTCAAGCAGTTTGAGAATGGGTCTTGGAAAGGTGAAGGTGAAAAAAGGACTAATTTCAAAGCAACTAATAAACCATCTTAACGAAGACAACACTATTTCTGTAGGATATCCCTTTAAAAACTAAAAGGCAATTAAGAAAGAGCCAAAGAGATAAAGACAAGAAGTACAAAAGGACACTGGAACGGGATAAATTGGAAACGTTATAGGGTTGGAGATCCTGTACCTGTTGAGCTAGATGAAAGAGGGCTTGTTTCTTGGGGAAGAAAAGCAGAGGCAGCCACTGCTTTTGAAGGTGTTGCTCTCTTTTTGCCCAATAGGAAGATGATGGGGCTATGGACAGTTTGGCTGAGTTTGAAGAAAATGGAGCAGCTTTGCAAAGGTTTGAGTTTAGCAGGAAAGTTGTTCAGAAGGAACTGAGGTTTCATCCAGAGGAGCTGAACTGTTTGCTTGGGGTACTGAGGACATTTTGATATAAGCTTCAAGAATGCACAGTAAGGTCAAAGTGCTTTGGAAGAGATTTGGTGCAAAGAAGCAGAATAAACCTCTGACTGTACTGTGGAGGTGTTATCAGACTGGGAGGTGAAAGACTGCACAGCCTCACAATGAGGAGTTGAATGAGCATGATACAGAGGTCTTGCTGAAGAGATGTTGTTGGGCGCTAGGACTGGTGATAAAGGTTACTGACCGGGATTCTGTGCGGAATGGGGCAAGAAGGTGGGGGGTTTGTATGTTTCTAGATCTTCAGTTTCTTGAGGTGGTAAAACACTTGCTGAATATGATAACTTTAGGAGTGTTGAGAGGATATATTGTATACCAAGAAATGCCAAGGCTGTGTGGGAGATTAGGGCATTTGGTGGCAGGATGCCCTGAGGTTGAGGTGCAGGAATTATAATAATAATAATCCTTGCATTTGATATAGTGCCTTATCACATCATCTAGCGCCTTGGGACGTCCTCCCGACGTGAAAGGTGCTCTATAAATGGAATCTTGTTGTTGTTGTTGTCTCAACTTGCTCCACAGAATATACTGCAAAGTGAATTGACTGTATATTTTGTGGGTGAAATGTGGCAGCTAATGTTGTACAGCAGTATCCCGCAAACTGTTGTGGATTGAGTGATCACATTTTTTTTAATTTTTAACTATGTCTTTGTTTGTCTGGAAGGAAATAAATATGGGCAGAACAATGAGATAGGTGGGTGCCAGGCACTGAGGAAATGTGATTTGTTTGGTGAGGGAGGACACCTATACGTAGCAAGCAATGTGTGTGGAATTTAAAAGACTGGGAGTGGAAGGGAGGGATAGTGAGTTGTTTGGGGATCAATGCAATACAATACAAGATTACATTTGTATAGTGCCTTTCATGTCAGGAGGGTGTCCCAAGGCGCTGGACAGTCAGGGATTTGAACCCCAGTTTGAAGTCGGGATCGGGAAGGGTGAAGGCCAGGGAGGGTAGGAGGGTGGCCGAAGGCGCGATCAAAGAGGAGAGTTTTGAGACATGTCTTGAAGGATGCAAGGGAGGGAGGAAGGTGAAGGGAATGTGGGATGGAGTTCCAAAGGGTGGGGTAGAAAGGCTGAAGGCCCGACCGCTGATGTTGGGGCGGGCCGGGCCGGGCGGGGGTTGTGGCCATTGGCCACAGCCTGCTGAGCAGAGGGAGTGGACAGGTTGATATGGGCATGATGCATTCAGGCAAGGAACAGAGAGGGAAGAGAGTGTAATGTTCAAGGAAGGTGTATCTGAAAGTGGGGATGGGAAAGATGTGCAGAATGTCTGTCAGAACTGAAGATGCTGGGAATGGTAAGGAGGGAAGCGGAGCAATGGAGGAGATGCCAGAGAAGGCAAATGATGGTGAGGGAACTGAGGAAGAAATTTGGGACGGAGGGGAGAAAGGGGAAGCAGGAGGAAAGAGGATAGTAAGGAAGTGAAAGAGAAGTCAAAAGGCTGCTGGCAATACTAATATTTTCCCAGAAGATGGTTATGGTAGATAAAAGGAAATAAATAACACTGAAGAAGGAATGGAGGAGAGGGGCGTCAGTTTGGTTGGGATCAGATGCTACCTAGCAACTGGGATAGGGTTCTGTTTGGGAATAGGGATGTGGAGGTGAAGGCAGATTAAGTAATCATGCTGGAAAGATTGATGTATGTGGATGTAGGTTTGGCAGTGTCGAGGTTTCTCCTGGACAACAATAGGTATGTGAAAGGTTTAAATTATGAAATAGATTGTGAGAGGCTTTGATGACCAGGGATGTGATTTTTATAATGGTGCAGGAGAGAATGAGACTTGTATAGAAAATGAAAGGTGTACTGGCTACTTTGTTAGGAAGGCAAAAAAATGAAGAGAATTATGGAAGAATTAAGAAGTGGGGGAGATACTTGAATATATAAAATTGCATGAAATGGGGCAAAGGCCTTTAAAGAGGAGTTCTTGGAAAAACTTCTAGGTAAGTTGGAGGTGAGGGTATCTGAGGAGGATGTGAGATACATGGACAGGCAGATTGAGAAGGAAGAAATGGATGAGGCTCTGTGAGGCATGATGAAGGAGAAGGCTCCAGAGGCAGACAGGCTGCCAAATGAGTTGTGACACCTTTTGGAAGGAGTTGAGAGAGGTATATGGAAACGTGCAAAGGGGGAAAATGAGCAGATCCCTGGGAGGAGCAGAGGTGATGTATAAGAACAATGGAGAGAAGAAGATGAAGAACTAGAGACCCATAACATTGTTAAACATAGACTATAAGATTTTAGCAAACATTTTGTGGGTTAGGACAGACTGCTGTGATTTTGAGGGAGGCAATAGATACCTCTCAGATACCCTAGAAGGTTATGCTTGATGGCTCAGTTGAGGAAGGGCAGGAGGAGGCTCATGTGGAGCATAAACACCGGCATAGACCAGTTGGGCCGAATGGCTGTTCCTGTGCTGTATATTCTAATGTGTTCTAATGTATTCCATGACTGTTTGTGGAATACTGCAGTGTGAAGTTGGCTACCGTATTTCGACCACAAAATATACATTCATTCATTTTACAGTATTTAATAACATTAATAATCCTTGCATTTGATATAGTGCCTTATCATGTCTCAAAGCATTTCACAGAATATACTGTAATGTGAAGTGGTTTGAGATGTTCTCAACAATGTGATAAATGCAAGGATTTTACATCAACAAACAAACAAAATTACATTTGTATAGCACCTTCCATGTCGGGAGGACATCCCAAGGAACTGGACAATCAGGATTTCGGACCCGAGCTGCGGGTCGGAATCGGGGAGGGTAAGGCAGGAAGAGGGTGACCAGAGGCACGGTCAAAGAGGAGGGTCTGGAGACAAGTCTTGAAGAAAGCAAGGGAGTCGGCAAGGCAGATAGACTGTGGGATGAAGTTCCAGAGGGTGGGGGCAGAGCAGCAGAAGGGTCATGGAGCCTGGTGTGGGAGAGGACACAGGTTGCAGAGTTCTGGGTGTTCTGCAGCCTGTGGAGGGAGGAGTTGGGAAGGCTGGAGCATATAGATATTGAAGAGGAGGGGACCAAGGACAGAGCCCTGAGGAACTCTGCACGAGACTGTGCGGGAATAGAGGAGAAGCCATTTGTAGAGATGAAGTAGGGATGGTGTGAGAGGTATGATCTGAAACCATTCAAGGACAGAACCATGAAGGTTGAGGTGAGAGGAGAGGCGGTGGAGGAGGATAGAGTGGTCAACGGATCAAAGGCAGCAGAGAGGTCAAGGAGAATGAGGAGACAGAGGGAGCCCTGGTCGCAGATGGACAAAATGTAATTTGTCACTTTATTATTATGCAGAAAGGGAAAATTCAATACATCATATTTATTGGAGGGATCTCACATCCTGCGTTTCAGTATTTAAAATGTCATGGTAGTGATTATAAAATCTGTCACGATATAGAGTTCAATTTCAAACAGACATCAATTAATCATCAAATAATGCCAGATGTCAGATTTCCCATAGAAAATCTAAGGTAAGAGAGCTAACAACTGAGCCAGACTGACACAACTAGAATTGAGGTACAGATCAGCCATGATTTTAATATAATGGTGGAAAAGGCCAAGGGGCTGAATGGCCTACTCCTGTTCCTATGTTCCTATGACACACAGAGCAGAAATATAACCAGAATTAGATAGAAGAGGTATTTAGTGAATATACAATTAGACTTTTTAAAGTAATGAAGGATTTCTAACCATGTCACTGTTTGTTGACAATAGAGTGAGTGCTATGTGAGGCAAGTGGAGCTACTATTTAACTCCCAGATATTTTTGACAAGAATTCAAACTGATAATCAGTAGTAATTGCTTTATTACTCATGATCTTGTCAGTTCTTTTCAGCTCAAGGTGAGAAACTTGGTATCAAGATAATAATTTGAACCCCTTGTGTAGCTTTATCTCCAGATGCTCTGTCACATATTTGGAGTCAGTTTAAAATTCTCTAGTTCATTCCTGAGAGAAGGCCATTGTAGCTTTCCAAGGTCCCAAACTGCTCATTTAAGAAATATCCGAATAAGTAATTTATTAATCGATAAGAAAGTGAAACATTTTGCCATGTGCATAAAACACCCCAGGCAAAGGCAATTACACGCTCATTAAACAAAAATGTTAAAAACAGCATCACAGTTTTGATAACAATCTATTTTAGAATTTAACACATTTTACTTCAACTGCATAAAAGCAAACTCATCAGTTCACTGGCAGCAGTTTAGCAGTTTATGTTAGAGAATGAAGACAAGAAGCCTGAATGGTTGATATTGAACTTGCCCAGGTATGCAGTTTTCCAAAGAAGATACATTTGAGATATATTATATGTTTATATTTAACTGAGTTAAGACAGATACTTTAAAGTGTGGTTTATTGCCATGTTCAGAAGATACTCAATATTTGAAACTAATTTAAGAATATATATTTCATTTCACTTGAGTTATAATAAACTCTTATAGATTTTGAACTCACGAATGGAACTTGATCTTCTATTTTTTCAGGAAATATATCCATTCATGGAGCAACAGAAAGCAGAAATGATTCAAGAGAAGGTAACCCTGAAACACGGCAATCTCCTCAAGAAAACTTTTTTCAGAGGAATTGGCTACATTTCTGGTGACATGAGAGAATTTGGTGACTGGATTAAAGGTAAGAGAATATCTTAAATAATGTGTTGGAATTGCACAAGAGGTTGATTAGCATCAGGAAGAGCAAACTAGGTTTCTGGGTGTTAATCTTCATCAGAAATACAGTATGATCATAATGGAAGTTATTGGAAATATATTTTCAATGAAGTACCTCAAAAGGATTAGATCAAAATGTTGAGAGAGAGATAGTGAAGCAGTATAAAGACTCCTTAAAAGTATAAGCATTACATATATAATCCTTGCATTTGATATAGCACTTTATCACGTCATTGAGATGTCTCAAAGCGCTTCATAGAATATACCACAAAGTGAATTGACTATGCATTTTATGAGCGAAATGCAGCAGTTAATTGCGAACAGCATGGTCCCACAAATAATCATGGATTGAGTGACCATAAAAAAAATCTGCCAATCGTTTAGAAATCAGGTTCCTAATTACTGCTAGGTAAACAGAGGCATGTGGAGTAAGGAAACTTGCCTAAGGTTTGATCCCTCCTGGGAATCAAACCTGGATCCTCTTGCTTTCGAGGCAAGTGCTCTAACCACCATGCCACAGGACTCCACAAGGACTGGTAAACCAACATAATTAATAATAATAATAATAATCCTTGCATTTGATATAGCGCTTTTCACGTCGGGAGGACGTCCCAAAGCGCTTCACAGAACACACTGCAAAGTGAATTGACTGTATATTTGTGGGCGAACGCGGCAGCCAATTGCGCACAGCAATGTCCCACAAACAGTCGTAGATTGAAAATGACCAATTTATTATTATTTTTGGTTTTTGGAGGGATTATTATTAGGCGTGTGGAGTAAGGAAACTTGCCCAAGGTTTCGCCCTGCCTGGAATTGAACTCAGGTCTCTCGCTTGCAAAGCGAGTGCTCTAACCACTGAGCTACAGGACTCCACATAATCCTATGTTAAAGCAGGGTTTGCCTATAAATAGCCAGGCGCTCCATACAACAGTAAAATCCTTTGAAGCGCTTTGAGATTTTTCAATATGATAAGGCGCTATGCAAGGATGATTCTTATATATAATCATTAATATTACTATTGTTATATATGCAATGGATTCAAGATAAGGCGATACTTTGCGGACACGTGAGACAATCTAGGCTAAATTGTTATCAAATTCAAGACTTGACTGAATTCGATATTTTCCTTGTGACAATTCAGAAATCAGATGGATTTAGAGATGCGCTCATCTCTTCAGTATTAATTACCCTGACAACAACAACAACAATAAAATTACATTTATAGTGTGCCTTTCACGTCGGGAGGACGTTGGGAGGTATAGACACAGAAGTATAGACACATCTCACGGTAAACATAGCATATAATATGTTTCATTTCTTTCTGGAAACATTGCAGAGCAAAATTGCATCTTTCAGTTTCTTGACTGGATCTTACGAGGAGCTGCTCAGGTGATGTTTGTCAACAACCCACTGAGTGGACTTGTTATTTTGATCGGGCTGATTGTACAGAATCCATGGTGGGCACTGAACGGCGTTGTGGGAACAGTTTCCTCAACTTTAGCAGCACTTATTCTCAGTCAAAACAGGTACGTACACTATATGGTAATTTCACCATGAATAGACTTGGCTGCAAAAAGTGATAAAAATAAATACTATTTATTGTTTGATTATTTATGGTCAGTTGGGTGTCTGATGGATGCGGAAAGTCACAATCTGACAAAGTGTTTAATAGACCGGGTTGCCATTATCAAGATCTTGATCTTGAGATCTATCATAAATTTACTGTTTACAGTGCAAGTCTGCATAAATCATTAGTTAGGCTGCAGTTGTACTGTGGTTTGAGTACCTCACTAGAGGAAGGATATCAAGACTATAGAGAGGGTGCAGAGGAGATTCAGCAGGATAACAGGGATGGAAGATTTCATTTTTGAGGAAAGACTGAAATAACTATTTTCCCTGGAACAGTGAAACTTGAAAGAAGACCTGATGAAGCTTTGTAAAATTACGTGTGGTTTTAATAACTTAGTTAATGAGTCAATACCTAAAGGGCATAGATTTAAGATAATTACCAAGAGAGAAAGGATGGTTAGGGGAAATGTGTCTACGCTATGGGTGTAATGCCCTTCCTGGAACTATAGTTGAGGCAGAATCCATCTTAACTTTTAAAAAAAAATTAAACATCTTGGAAGGAGAAATATGAAAGAATATGAGGAAAACAACAACAATAAATTATATTTGTATAGCGCATTTCACATCGGGACGACGCCCCAAGGCGCTGGGAGCCTAGAAAAGATGAGGAGACATCTTTTCAATGTTGAAGAGTCCTAATGTATCTCATTCTTCCTCATAGCTCATTTCTCTAAAACTCAGGATCAACCTACAATACAATATAAATTTACATGTATGTAACACTTTTCATGTTGGGAGGGTGTCCCAAAGTGCTAACCAAGTCAAACAGCAATACTTTGTGATTCAATTCACTATGAAACTTGTCTGAAAAATATCTTGGATGTCGGAAAAGGTAAATCTGCTCAGTTGTTAACCATTAGCATTCTGTAACTTTATTCTTCACATCTTATGGTTTTTATTTTTTATATTTTGTGAAGCGCTTTGAGACATCTCGAAGACATGATAATAATCCTTGCATTTGATATAGTTCCTTATCACATCTTCGAGACATCTCAAAGGCTTCACAGGATGTACTGTAAAGTGATTTAACTGTATATTTTGTGGGTGAAATGCGGCAGCCAATTGCGCACAGCAGTGTCCCACAAACAGTCGAGGATTGAGTAACCAAATTATTACTATTATTAATTTTGAAGGGATTTATTTTTGAAGGCCAATTGATTACAACAAGTGGGTTCCTACTTACTGTTAGGTAAACAGAGGCGTGTGTGTGGCGTAAGGAAACTTGCCTAAGGTTTCGCCCTGCCCGGGAATCAAATCCGGGTCCTCTCGCTTGCGAGGCCAGCGCACTAACCGGCACAGAAAGACTATTCAATAATTATTAATTATTATTATTTTCAGGTCTGCTATTGCAGCAGGGCTTTGTGGATACAACGGCATCCTGGTTGGTCTTCTGATGGCTGTATTTTCTAACAAAGGAGACTGGTATTGGTGGCTGATACTGGCTGTGATCATCATGTCGATGGGATGGTATGTTGACTTTTCCATTTGACATGACTTTATTTTCATGAATAGTTACCTCAAACTTAGTTACAATGTAAGCATAGAATGTTCTACGCTGAACTATTTCAATCCAGGAACATTTTGAAAACAAAACGACACAGAGAATAGAACATTAATTTTGAAATCCTTTTTTGGAACTTAATGCATGCTAAGAAAATGGTTATTCTCCAAATTTGATACAATTTAGTAAATGTGGGAATCGTAGGCATCAAATTCATTAATTATGAATTAATTATAATTAACTAATTGTGGAGTCCTGTAGTGTAGTGGTTAGCATGATTGCCTTGCAAGGGCAAGGACCTGAGTTCGAATCCCGGGCGGGACCAAACCTTAGGCAAGTTTCCTTACTCCACACGCTTCTGTTTACCTAGCAGTTCAATTGGCAGATTACTTTTCAGGGGTAATAATCCCTCAAAAAAAAATTGGTCACTCAATCCATGATTGTTTGTGGGACACAACTGTGCCAATCCACTTTACAATATATTCTGTGAAATGCTTTGAGACATGGTAAGGGCTATATCAAATGCAAGGATTATTATTATTACTGATTCTGTTTTGGCGTTTATTAACAAAAAACACATTATTGTTGAAACTGCCATGTGATATTAAACCAATTAAGGCCACCTTGACCTCCCACCTCAACCTTCAAGGTTCTGTCCTTGACTGGTTCAGGTCCTACCTTTCACACCACCTCCACTTCATCACGGCAAACGGTTTCTCCTCCGGCCCCCGCATCGTCTCGTGTGGTGTCCCTCAGGGCTCTGTCCTCGGTCCCCTCCTCTTCACCCTCTATATGCTCCCCCTTGGTGACATCATCCGCAGACATGGGGTAAATTTCCATATGTATGCGGATGACACCCAACTTTACCTCTCTGCCTCCACCCTGAACTCCAGGACAACTGAGGTCCTTCCGACATCAAGTCCTGGATGAGGGCCAACTTTCTCCAACTCAACGTCAGCAAGACCAAGACCCTCCTGATTGGCTCGCACCAGCGCCTCCACACCTCAGGCGCTGGCAGTATCAGCCTCCATGGCTGCACACTCAACCTCACTAAGCCAGTCAGGAACCTGGGTGTCTTATTTTACCCTGAACTATCCTTTCTCCCACCCATTCGCGCCATAACTGGCAGTGCCTACCACCACCTCTGCAACATTGCCAGACTCCGCCACTGCTTCAGGCTGCCGAAACCCTCACCCACGCATTCATCACATCAAGGCTTGATTACGAAAACTCCTTCTTCATCGGCCTTCCCAACTCTTCCCTTCACAAGCTGCAGATCATCCAAAAATCTGCAGCTCATGTACTCTCACGCACCAGGCTCCGCGACCCTATCACTCCCACCCTCGCCCAACTCCACTGTCTCCCCAACCCCCAGAGGATCGAGTTCAAGAAGCTGGTCCTCACCTTTAAGGCCATCCATGGCCTTGCCCCCTCCTACCTCTCTGACCTGATGACTCCCTACCAAAATTGCCCGCTCCCTCCATTCACCAGGCTCCGGCCTACTCCATGACTCCCACCCGAGCCGCCCTACCATCGGTAGCCGGGCTTTCAGCCTCTCTGCCCCCACACTCTGGAACTCCATCCCACGGTCCCTTCGCCTCATTTCCTCCCTCGCATCCTTCAAGGCCGGTCTCAAGACCCTTCTCTTTGACCGTGCCTTTGGTCTCCCTCCCACCTCTCTGCCTTCCCTCACCCCTATACCACCCCTCCTCCATGCTCGGGCCCCGACAGCTGACTGTTCAGCGCTTTGGGACGTCCTGCCGACGTGAAAGGCGCTCTATAAATTTAATTTTGTTGTTATTGACTGTTGGGGCTTTAAGGATATGCCTACACTTGAGAGACCTCTTCCAGTGCTGTAATTTCTAAATGCCATCCCAATGAGCTATTTTTGGACAAAAAACTAATTTTATTAACCTCAAAACGTGAAGGATTGACTGGACAAACCAGTATTTGAAATCAGAGCTTTCTGGTCCCAATTCCAGTTCTCAGTGGACGGAGTTGATTGAATGTTAAAATTATAGTAACTGAGTAAAGTTTGTGGTTAAAATTAAGAAAAGATAGGAACCAGATTTTAGGTATTTTATGATTGAGGCTCCTATTTTATTTTCTGTCCTACAATACATTAATATTTAAGAATAATTTGCAAACTACAAGAGATACACAAACATTGGAGCAACTAATCACAAAAGGGACGAAACCTAGGAAAGCAGGATGTACAGAACTAAAAAGACCAATCCAATCTACATCACTGGGATCAAATTGTTCCACCTCTTAAACCCTTCCTTGCTTCTTTCATCAAAAATCTATTAAGCTCTGGCCTGAACTTATTCATACTTAATGCCTTAACTCTGAAATCAGATCCCCGAAATACTTATGAATGTCGTTGACCGTGAAACAGAGTCAGACCAGCAAACTAGAGTTACATGATGCTATTTATATTTCACGGAAATATAAGTAGAAATAATGCTATTTATATTTCAAGGAATCTCAATAGCTTCATAAGTGTAAACACACACCACACACATACACACACTTTAATATCTGTGCTCTGTGGTTTTCCCTTACATCAGAAATTCAAATAAAGAGTCATTCTTCACCTTCTGTCACAAGATTAACGCAATGTACCATTGGGCAATGGAAATCTGAAACTCACCTGCGTATAATTTCCCCCAAGTATTTCTGTTAAATTTATCCCTTGTCATTGATGTCTTCTACCGCTCTGCTATCTGTGATGGGCACAATAAAAGTGACTACTTAACTGAGAATCTAGTTGAAGGGTCAAAGCTGTGCATGGCTCTATACGTGAAACCCAGAATCCTGTTTGCCCTTTCAACAGCCTTCTCTATTTGCAATCCTACAACAACAACAAGATTTCATTTATAGAGAGCCTTTCACGTCCGGAGGACGTCCTAAGGTGCTGGACAGTTGGGTCAGGACCCGAGCAGGGGGGAAATGGTCAGGGTGAGGGAAGGGAGGGAGCAAGGAGGGGGTAGAGAGTCGAGAGGGGAGCTGAAGGCACGGTCAAAGAGAAAGGTCTTGAGACTGGCCTTGAAGGAGGAAAGGGAGGAGGCGGCGAAGGCACTGGGGGATGGAGTTCCAGAGCCTCCGGGCTGAGAGGCTGAAGTCCCGGCCACCGCTGGTAGGGCGGTTGGGGTGGGGGATGTGGAGCAGACCGGAGCCAGAGGAACAGAGTGTACGGGCAGGTAACTAGGGGATAGTAGGTCAGAGAGGTAGGAGGGAGCGAGGCCGTGAATGGCCTTGTAGGTGAGGATGAGGATCTTGAATTCGATCCTCTGGGGGATGGGGAGCCAGTGGAGGCGAGCGAGGGTGGGAGTGATGTGGTCCCGAAGCCTGGTGCGGGACAGTACACGAGCTGCAGAGTTCTGAATGACCTGCAGCTTGTGGAGGGAGGTGCCGTGAAGGCCGGTGAGGAGAGAGTTCCCATAGTACAGCCCTGAGGTGATAAAGGCGTGGACCAGAGTTTCAGCAGCGTGAGGGGTGAAGTAGTGCCGTAGTCTGGCGATGTTTCGGAGGTGATGGAAGGCGGTGCCAGTTGTGGCGCGGATATGAGGAAGAAAGGACAGCTCAGGATCAAACAGAACCCCAAGGTTCATGACCGGCTTTGAGAGGTGGAGACTGCAGTCTTGGATGCTGATGCTGTCAGCGCCTGAGGTGCGGAGGCGCTGACTCGAGCCAATCAGGAGGGCCTCAGTTTTGCGCACGTTGAGCTGAAGAAAGTTGTCTCTCGTCCAGGACTCAATGTCAGACAGGCAGGCTGTCAGGACATCGGTGGTCGTGGAGTTGAGGGTAGAGGAGGAAAGGTAGAGTTGGGTGTCATCCGCATACATGTGGAAGTTAACCCCATGTCTGCGGATGATGTCACCAAAGGGGAGCATATAGAGGGTGAAGAGGATGGGACCGAGGACAGAGCCCTGAGGAACACCACACAACACAGTGCGGGGCCCGGAGGAAAAGCCATTTGTGGAAACAAAATGAAGACGGTGGGAGAGGTACGACCTAAACCACTGAAGGACAGGGCCTTGAAGGTTGAGGTGGGAGGACAAGCGGTGGAGGAGGATAGCGTGGTCGACCGTATCGAATGCGGCCGATAGGTCGAGGAGGACGAGGAGGCAGAGGGAGCCCTGGTCGCAGATGGTCAAGATGTCATTGGTGACCTTGACCAGGGCGGTTTCCGTGCTACAGGCAGCACGGAAACCCGACTGAAGGGGTTCGAATAATGCATAGGTGGAGAGGAAAGAGCACAGCTGGGAGGCGACAACTCTTTCGAGAACCTTGGACAGGAAAGGGAGGTTGGAGATGGGCCGGTAGCTTGATAGCTGCGACGCATCAAGGGAGGGTTTTTTCAAAGTGGGAGTGATGGTGGCAGTTTTTAGGGGAAAGGGAACAGAGCCAGAGGAGAGGGACAGGTTGATGATGTCTGTGAGAAGTGGGGCAAGGAGGTGGAGCTGGGAGATAAGGAGTGGAGTGGGGATGGGGTCAAGGGAGCAGGTGGTGGGTTTCAGGGACAGGATAAGCTTGGTGACAGAGGGTTCGAAGGTGTGTAGGGGAGGATAGGTAGGAGTCGGAGTGTGGGAGGGAAGGGGTGGGGAGTGGGTGGAAGTTGGAGGGGGAGTAACTGCGGAGCGGATTCCCTTGATTTTGGATTCAAGGAAATCCAGCATCTCCTCGGAGTGAAGGTTGGACCTACCGTTAATGAGCTATGTATTCGTACTCCCAATCTGCAGGTTCCTCCATTTTATTCAGAATTCCACCTGTCAAAACGGAACACTTAACCTTTTTCTATGTACAACCCTTTCTCACAAATTTGCCTATTCCACTTACATGTCTATCTGCCTGTACCTTCCTGCAATCTATAGCTAGGGCTGTTGGGCCAAGAGGGGAGGGGAAAGGTGACTAAAGGTGCAGTGAAAGAGGAAGATTTTGAGGCAATTTTGAAGGAAGCGAG